AAGCATACAAGAGTGAAAACAGATATAAGATCCCTTGAAAAATTATATAAATGAAACTTGTATGTTTTGTATACTTCCTAAAACAATATATGAAAGTAATGAGAAAGTGGCCACTTTCATAAGTAAATCATATAAGCCTTATGTGATTCAGTATATGAAGCAAGCCAAATCTGATGCAAGTCTTTTATAAGTTTTTTCTATTTCTTTTCCATATGGGCAGAGGTGACAGCGCTCCTGGCTGGTGTGAGGCACAATCAGCTGATCAGTTCTTCCATCACACCAACGTGCAGCTCGCTGACAGGACAACCTTTCCAGCTGCTGACAGCAGCTGCTGCTGCTTCATCTCTACCAACACACCTCTCACCTAGGGGTGGGCTTCACCACAGATACCCCCCGCCCACTCCCCACAATCCATCATAGCAGCAAAGAAGCAGAGACATGGCCCAGGGGTGCCCTCTGGAAGCAGACCATCAATACACACACACACACAAAACAGACTGGAGTCAGTCCCGCACTGGAAACACCTGTAACACCTGAAAACAGAAACTCTGGGAGATGTCACACCCTCAGTGATGTCACTGAAGAAGAACAGGAGGAACTGACATCCTGGTAACATCACATTTTGTTGCGTTCGATTGGTTGAAATCCAGCTCAGGCTCGCTCACCCGCCACAGCCTCAGCGATCAATAAATGAGGCATACGTCAGGTCAGCTTCATGTTTCAAACAAGTGTTATCAGCAGGTTGTTGATCAGGTTTATCTGTGATTAATAATCCAACGTTTGGACTTCAGAGCAGCTAAAAGATCCAGAGATTTGCTATGACCTTCTGTGACTGTGTGCCAACACTAGTTTAGTCTTTATGGAACAATAAACCTTTTCATTGATTTAAAAAAGAAAAAAATGCTGCTACCAAGGAAAACACACCCACACCGCCAAGGTTTGCTCACCTGTGGCCAACGCTGGATTCAAACCACCAAATCAAGCACGTCTGCTGCGCAAACGAGTTGACAGGTCAGCGGCACAAATCCCAGAAGTCAGAGCACACCGTCCTCAGCTGTCTGTAACCACCAATAAGAAGCCTCATTACAGTCTCTGACCTCACTCAGAGAGGTCACTGACACCTTTAGTCAGAGCAGCTTGGGTCAGAGGTCAAAGCCCGAGGGTCACAAGATAGTCTGGACTCTAACAAGGCTGAGCTCCACCTCACAAACCAAGGACAGGAAGTGATGTGTGTATTCCTGAGAGTGTGTATATCAGTGTGTGTGTGTCTGTGTTGTGATATTACCTGTCTATGCGGTGGTTTTAAGGTAGCCTCTGGGGGGGCACTAACATCACCTTGTCCTTCCTCATCTACTTCCTGAGATTCCTGAGATTTTCAGTGATTCATCAGGTGACATCACGCCTAACCTGATGACTCAGACAGATCTGTGGGGACTGAGGCAGGTGAGTCAGTCAGCTGTCTGTCACGCTTCGATGGAGAGACGCTGACTCACTGCACGCCCTCGGAGCGTTACCTGCTCACCAGGAGCCTCGACACTCAGATGCTCACCTGTGCAAACACTCGCTCAGTATTTCAGACTTTACCTGAAATACTGAGCGAGTGTTTACATTTCTGTGTCAGTGCTGCTGCTGAGCTGCAGAGACATGAACATACATGTAAAGGATTCTGAATGGCCGGCAGGTCAGCGTGTGAAATTATTCATGTGCAGACCAACAGAGTCATGAAAGTTTTATTTTAATGATAATAAGAAAAAAATGTAAAAACAGATTAGACACATTAATCAGTGACTGAAGCTCAATCACACATGAACCAGAATCTGATGATTGCTCTGATACTGAACGATCTTTCGTCAGCTGATCAATCGCCCAGCTGTAAATTTATCCACCGCCCTGCAGTTTCATTCCCAACAGAGGTTTCTGCACATGGAGACAAGTAAGAGAACTGTGAGCGACTGAAGGCCCTTTAGAGTTAAAGCCTCAGCCTCTGATCTGCTGCTCTCCATGTTTGTGTGGCTCTTCGGCTCAGACGAGTTTTGATTTCAAATGAGCTGAGCTGGACAAGACTCCAGAGCTTCGAAACCTTAATGTAATCAGATAACTTTCAGAGATAGACAAGCCTGAGATCAGACATAAAACCAGAGTGATGTTCCAGGAAAAGTAATCACCCGGCTAATCATTAATAATGATCTGAAAATGTTCATTCGGCTGTTTTCTGCTGCTAATGGAGCCGTTCGTGAGATTTGAAAAAGGTGTGTGTTTTCAGACTTGTTCCTGTCAGCCTCAAACATCTCACCTGTCTCTGCACCAAACAGCAGCGTTCTCTTTGTTCCTGATGTTTGGATGGAGATGTTTAGGTGAAAATATGAGAAGGACACCAGAGAGAAAAATGTGGCCATGAAGCCGTGGCAGCACTCGGAGGATGGGTAGATCGTCACGTCCGTGTTTAATGATGCAGGTTTTCTCTGCGACTCCTCTGAGGAGGCAATGCATCAAAGTGACAGGCCAATCAGCATCCGGCCGCTCTTCATCAGCACAATTAACTGTAATTAATCTGTTTACTGTGTGAGGTGTGAGGCATGCTGGGCGGCCTCGCTTATCTTCCTTATGTAACTGCAGGAAAACGAGGATCCGCTGTTCTGCTGCTTACTCAGCCCTGAACTCTGATTGGTAGTTTTTTTTTCACAAAAAAAGGAAGCTGCCGAGAGCAGACAGATCCTCAATAAACAGAAAGACAAGCCTGCAAATAACTGCAGCAAGATCAGTAACTCACAGCTGCATCACAGGTCTAAAGATGAAACTCATTTAGATAAATAAATAAACTCCCTCAAATAAACTCTCATCAAACCTTCAAATCCATCAAACTATGACCTGCTGGCCTTTCTGAGCTCCTGTCTAAGGCCTACAAACTCTATAGCAGGTGAGCAGCATCTGAAAGACCCAACACAGGAGCTGAGAGACAATCTGGATCTTCAGCTAATCATCTGCTGTTCTCTGAAGCCTCACAGACATGTCTGAAGGACAGCTAACAGGAAGACGTTCATAATGAAGGGAAACAAGAGGAAAAGCTGAGGTCTGAAGACCAGAGGAACAGGTCTGATGGATCAACTTAATGGTCAGTAAGAAGATGTCAGGAGGAGGTCCAACACTGAGAGTCTGCAGCCATCTGTGAAACAGGGTGGAGACTCTGTCATAGTTTCAGCTGCAGGTCAGTCAGTGGTGTTGGAGATCTTTGATGAACTGATGAATTACAGAGTCCACCATATAGGAACATCTGGAAACATCTTATTATCTGCTTTCATTTTCAGCTCAACCATGATCCAAACACACTGCTGTGCATTAAAACCTGGATAGAAACACACAGGGGAACTCTATCAGAGCTGGACTGAAGCATGACTGAAGCAGTGTGAGATCATCCTGACAGAGAACAAAAGGCAGAAACATCCAAAGAAGAACCCCGAGAACTCTTCTTGAAGGTCCTCACAGAGCTGTAGGAGGAAGCTGCTCACAGCACAGATTCACTTTCATTTTCCTCTTTTAACTTCTTGAGCTGCTGATTATTCTGAGTATGACTGGATAAAAGCCTGACTCTAGAAAAGTCCTTAAGTTTTAATCCGTATGTGAGACATCGTCTCAACATGAGGGCCATGGGCCATGACGCAAACGCCACCACGTCACAACCATCTGCCTCTTTTTAAAACTTTAAGCAGACTTGTTCTAAAATTAACACTGAAATGTTTTCGTGACACAGGATTGAATCAGAGTAGAAATAGGACAGAGGATCATGAGGAAGCAGAAATCGTGGGCAATCGTGGCTCAAAGAGTTGGCAGTTCGTCTTGTAACCGCTTCTGTCAGTCTGCCCCAGGGCAGCTGTGGCTACAAGTGTAGCTTGCCTCCACCAGTGTATGAATGAATAGTGGAATTGTAAAGTGCTTTGAGGGTTTACAAAAAAGCGCTATATAAATGCAATCTATTATTATTATTAAACAGAGTTTTGGGGTTTTATGGCCTTGTTTTGTTCTTTTCTCATGTTTTTGTCTCTTTTCGTTTTTCTTTTTCATCTTCTCATCTTTCTCACTCATGAAACCTGGAGCTGTTCAGCTCAGCTGCTCCACGCTGACAGAGCAGCTCTCAATCGTCAGTGTTCACTTTTTATCTTCCAACGTTAAAAACTGTCATGGTCTTGAGCCAGTGGACTCAATTTTTTTGGTTTTGATTATTATCTTATGTTTCAGGTTAATTCTTGTTAGGATTTCCTTGTCATTAGGTTTGGTTTCTGTTTTGTATTTTGAGCTCCTTTTGTTCGGTGTCTAGGTGCCTGCCCTGGTCCCACATCTCTGTGTCCCCACGCTGTTGCCATGTCTTATGTCTTGTGTTAAGCTCGTGTCTGTGCATACCTGTTGTATTTCCTGTTCTACTTTGATAGTCCCTGTCCCACACTCAGAAAAATAAAGGTGCCAACTGGAACAAAAAGTGGTTCTTTAGACTGATGCCATAGAAGAACCTTTTTTGGTGCCACAAAGAACCTTTCAAACAAAGGTTCTTTGAAGAACCATTTCTTTCAGTGGTTCACTGAAGAACCTTTAAAGGTGCCCCAAAGAACCATCAAGAAATGGTTCTTTGGGGCACCTTTAAAGGTTCTTCAATGAACCACTGAAAGAAATGGTTCTTCAAAGAACCATTTTTAAAAAGATCCTTCAAATGGTTCTTTAAAAGAACCATTTTAAAGAACCTTTTTTGGGTGGTTCTTTAAAGAACCATTTTAAATCTTTCAAAATAAAATGTATCATAAATTGAATTTGAGTAGGGTAAAATAAATACAAGCACATATATTAATGGTTTATTGGCACTTTGTATTACAGAAAAAGACAAAAAGGCATTTTAATGCTAAGCACAACACCACTACTAATAATAGCATACAAGTCATTTAAACAGTAATAATTAAATATCTTTACATATAAATATTATACTATAGATAAAACAACAATTTTTACATTAGAAATAGCAATACTTTCATAACAGACAATTAAACAACACATTTTTATCAGCATGTTTGCATTTTCAGTAAGACTATTTCAAGAACAATCTTTTTATTTAAATTATCAATGAACTGCAGCCTTAAGTTATGTAAGTTAAGTTTAATGTGGGACTCATGGTCCTTTGTTAGTCCACACTGGGACAATTTCAGTCTCTCACCTGCACTATGCTGGCAATCTAGGAGATATTTAATGCATTTGCCACTCTTTGCACAGCTACTGGTACAGGTGTAGTCAGAGTTCCCAAGTTGAGAACAAATGCCTCCAAAAAGCAAAATGTCTTTTTTAGTTCACTTGGATAGGCAACATTGTAGACATGGTACAGGGAGAAGACAATACCCATCGCCAATGAAATGTCCATTTCCCCACTGTCCAGAATCATTTTTTGTCCATCCATCTGGACATTGACCTCAGTTGAATCACTCAAGGGCTTGCCGTCACTGCTGCTGAGTACGATTGTAGGTATCGGGCTGTGTGGATCCTGAAACAGAAATTAAATTCTTGAAATGAGGAGTATAGTTTAAATAAGTATAAACAACAGCTGTCCCAATGAAAGTATAAAACTCCTGTAAAATACTGGATTTGTTCAAGCCCCCCCCCCCCCTCACCATACCAAAAAAAATATAAATTTACCTTATTTATGACGAAGAGATGAGAGGCATTTTCTTTGAAAATAGATGGCAGGAGAAGAACAGCTGTGTTTACCATCTGACCTGAAAAATAAAGAGAAATATGTAAACATTTTCTGGCCAATTTTGTTAATACAAAGCAGTAAAGGCCATATGAGTGCCTTTATCAGGAGTTGAATGTCTTGCAGAACATAAGCATTAGTGCAGTAAATGTATACCTAATTAACTTTTCAGTGTAATTCAGTGTAAATGTTAAGCATTTATACAAAACCCCCAAAATGTTGTTCAGTTCTGTAAGTTGCTAGCTTTAAATAATTTGAGTCCTAAAGAACTTGCAGAGCAAGTCTAGCTGCCACTGAACATTTTTTGGGATAAACATTGTGTGAATGACTGAAAATCTTCATAGAGATACATATAGCATCGAGGGTATATCAGTTAAATCTTAAAGTACATCATTGCAGAGACGAGACAGGAGAAATGTCAGTCTGTGGATATTGTAAAGCAGCGGTCCCCAACCTTTTTTGCGCCACGGACCGGTTTATGCCCGACAATATTTTCATGGACCGGCCTTTAAGGTGTCGCGGATAAATACAACAAAATAAAACTAGTACCGGTACCGAAAAAAAGAAAATTTATTCATAACACACGTGAAAAGACCCAGGAAAACCGAGTAACGATAAAAACGATAACAAAATAACGCTGAAAACCGATAAAAACCCTGAAAACTATACATTTCACACCTGAGCCTCAACTCTCGCGGCCCGGTACCAAACGACTCACGGACCGGTACCAGTCCGAGGCCCGGGGGTTGGGGACCGCTGTTGTAAGGGACACTGTGTTTACTAATGTGCTGTATGTGAAACCTTAAAAAGTGGTATCTGAGATAGGAGTTAAAAATGTTTTTGCTCATTATTGCCAAGTGCCCTCACCTTTTCTTTCAGTGTCTGTCTGGCTCTCATCAACAGATTTTAAGCAGAGGCTTTTAAGGTTGCTGTTTGGGGCTATTGACACAAGCTTCGCTGCCAACTTACTGAATCCTCGGATTACTTTTTTGTCCACATCAGTTTTAAGTAACATGGAAGCCTCTTCAAGAAGCTAAAATAAAGGATAAACATATACATATTAGCTTTGTACCATAATATATACCATTATATAGCAAACCAGAACAATCATTATTTCACACATCAATTATCATTAGAGAAGAAATTATAATTTTGCATTTGCTTAGTTTAATTCTCAAGTACACATTGCTGTGCAAAAGGGATGTTTAGACTATTCTTCCCAAAAAACCATCATTGGCATCAGATTAGTCCAAAATTATCCTGTAGCATGAAAATAAAACCAAAGAGAAAGACATAGTCAATGTGGCAATTTCTGTTAGTGTTCTGTTAGTGTACTTTTATTACTCATGAAATCTGCTGAGTCAGTCACTTTGCCTGTCCTGTAGGTACATGATTATTAGAAGTCTGTATAAATGTGCAGCACATCAGTACATATTCGTGTTTTTGCTGTGCACTATTGTTATTGTTGTTTTTTGCTGCAGTTTTTGATAAAACACTCACCACAACAGGGATAGTGAGACATGGGAATTCTCGTAGAACCTCTTCAGTAGTATGCTGAAGAATGTAGTGTGTTCTGTACTTCTGTATTTTCCTGAGGTGCGTTCGAATGACATCCACATTTGGCCTAGTTTTTTGGCACTCTTGCTTAATCACTGATACATGTTGGTCGGTGCTCCTTTCATCCTCCCCATCGTCAAGAGGATTGATATCCTGGTTATTAAAAAGTTTAGCAAATATTGAGAGAAAAAACAAACAAACAATACTTTTACCTTTTATGTACAATTTAAAATGGCAAACAAACATTGAGCATATTTAACTTGCCTTGGTTTTTTTCAAAAGGATACAGGGCTGGATATCTGATGATCTTTTTCTTCCTGAATTTGGAACTGAGTATTTCTGTCTCATTTTTTCAATTTCCTCTACGTCTACTAGTGGTCTTCTTTCCTTTTTAAACTTGTTCCTGAGAGACTCATGCAGAGCATCCTACAAAGGATAAAAATGTAACTAATTATTCATAAATAGGTGCAACTAGGTCCTCCCTTTATGCAAGACATTTACCAGAAAACTTTGAGTGACATAAAGCTGGTAGGTTTGCTGTAATCATGTCATAACCTAATTAGTTCCTATTTACAGATCTCTTCTTTAACTCTTAGGAGTTGATCGAACACATGATATAAAGGTTTGGAGCACTTTAGATTGGCTAAATACACTATAAAAGGTAGATAAAGTATTAATGGCAATATGTCCTACAAGCATACTCGTCATGATCTTTCAGTCTATATGTTAATACCTCTACCTTTTAATAATAATGTATACTTTATTGATCCCCATTATCGTGTCTTATTGTTTTTCTGTGCCACAGACAATGAAATCGATGGATCGACACTTCTGCAGATGACTGAAAGAATGAGTGAGCGTCTTTTTCCAAAAGTGAAAGACCAAGTGAAATTTTTGTCTGCTGTAGAGAAGCTGAAAGAGTGAGTCTTAAGTTGACTGGTTGATTCACTGAATTGTACATTCATACAATCCAGTGTTTCCCCTCCCCTAGGTTTATGGTGTTGGAGGGTGGGGGGCAAGGGGTTGACGCAAGCCCTGTTCTGTTTCTCCAGCGTTGATGTGCATCACACACCCATTTACTTTCAAATTGAAATGTCACAGCCACTCTTACTCTCTGTTATGATTCTGTTTCTGTAGTTCAGCAGCTGTTATTGTACGTTTTAAATATGCGGATATTCCTGATGCAGGACACAAGGACACGCATATTCATGTCTTGTAACAAACTCTAAAAATACTTCTTACTTCTTCTTGCAGTGGAAGGCAACACAAAGAAAAGCATACTGTGTCAGCACTCCAACCTATGTTTAACTGCAAAGTGCAGTTTCCTCCAGCTGTGCTCACTGCGTTGACCAATAAAGATGCAGCACTAAAGTCACCCACCAAGAACAGACTCAAAAACATGCTTATTCAAGCACTGTTTGACCACTTGAGTAATGAGACAATGTAAGTCTATATATAATTAAGATTTGATTCATTTAAAATACAGTATGTACATCAGAATTTAAGTTCATCATTCAAAATTTGCAGGTATCCCTCTCATGTGCAGTATGTAGAGCTTCTGAGGACTGTCCTTCTGAGTTTTCCTTTTTTGAAGGAGAGTTATGGCTCTGGATATGTAAGTACTCCTGAAAAGCAAACATTGATACAATTGTCCAACAAATTGTCTTTGAATTGCCCAATTATTGGCTAATGAGTGTAACATGCTAACATTTTCATTGTTACATATTCAGAGGTTATCTGTTCCCTTGTGGCCACTACAATACAAGTATTAGTATTGTGATTTTTGAGGCAGATGTCGTGCAGTATGGTCAAACAATAAATAAAATATCAATTGCTCTTTTAAATTAATTGTTTCATTTCTCTGTGAATTCTCAAGTGAATGGTGTGAAATTCAGCATTATATTAGCTCTGTTTGCCTTTGTATCAGGATAGTGTAGTTTTTGTATTTAAAAAATTAAATTTGAAAATAGGGCAGGGATAGCTCAGTAGGTAGTGTGGTTATCCGATGATCGGAAGGTCGGGGGTTTGAATCAACTGAACGGCTACCCTGAGGTACCCTTGAGCAAGGTACCGTCCCTACACACTGAGTGAATGGGTTAAATGCAAAGAGAGAAATTTCCCTG